ACTTTACTGTTTCATCTGATATAAACATTCTTCCTTCATTTCATTCTATACACAATTTACATCATAGACGATTTAATAGATATAATACTTTACTGTTTCATCTGATATAAACATTCTTCCTTCATTTCATTCTATACACAATTTACATCATAGACGATTTAATAGATATAATACTTTACTGTTTCATCTGATATAAACATTCTTCCTTCATTTCATTCTATACACAATTTACATCATAGACGATTTAATAGATATAATACTTTACTGTTTCATCTGATATAAACATTCTTCCCTAAACATTATTTTAGTTAAAGTCCATCAAATATTTTTAGGATACTTTCACCAAATAATGTTTATATCAGATGAAATCCTCCATGTTAGAAAACATGTTAGAAAAGGTGTTAGATCTAACATTCTAACATAAACATTATTTTTGGATCATTTACGCTCATTACGATGAAGAAATCATGAAAATTCAATGAGGTGAGAAAAGAGGTGAGATCTCACCACTTCACCTAAACATTATTTTTGGATCATTTACACTCATTACGATGAAGAAATCATGACAAAACATTTACGCTCATTACGATGAAGAAATCATGACAAAACATTTACGCTCATTACGATGAAGAAGTTTCGACAAAGCATATACGTTCATGTTTGACAAAGCATATACGATGAAGAAATCATGACAAAACATTTACGCTCATTACGATGAAGAAATCATGAAAATTCAATGAGGTGAGAAAAGAGGTGAGAAAAGAGGTGAGATCTCACCACTTCACCTAAACATTATTTTTGGGTCATTTACGCTCATTACGATGAAGAAATCATGAAAATTCATTTACGTTCATGTTTGACAAAACATTTACGCTCATTACGATGAAGAAATCATGACAAAGCATATACGCTCATTACGATGAAGAAATCATGACAAAACATATACGTTCATGTTTGACAAAGCATATACGATGAAGAAATCATGACAAAACATATACGTTCATTACGATGAAGAAATCATGACAAAACATATACGTTCATTACGATGAAGAAATCATGACAAAACATATACACTCATTACGATGAAGAAATCATGAAAATTCAATGAGGTGAGAAAAGAGGTGAGAAAAGAGGTGAGATCTCACCACTTCACCTAAACATTATTTTTGGGTCATTTACGCTCATTACGATGAAGAAATCATGACAAAACATATACGATGAAGAAGTCATGACAAAACATATACGATGAAATCATGACAAAACATATACGTTTAGTTTCGATGAAATCATGACAAAACATATACGATGAGGTCATGACAAAACATATACGATGAAGTTTATTTCCTGGACTGTTGTCAAAATGTCATGTTGTCTCATTTTTTCAGAGAAGTTCATTAACCTGGTAGCACATGGTAACATGGTAGCACCCTCAGTTCTTCAAAAATAAGTCATTATTGAATAACCTAAAAACCATCTACCCTAAACATTATTTTTGGGTCATATACGCTCATTACGATGAAGAAATCATGACAAAACATGTACGATGAAGAAGTCATGACAAAACATATACGCTCATTACGATGAAGAAATCATGACAAAACATTTACGCTCATTACGATGAAGAAGTCTTGACAAAGAATATACGCTCATTACGATGAAGAAATCATGAAAATTCATGAGGGTAGAAATGAGGTTAGATCTAACCATCTACCCTAAACATTATTTTTGGATCATTTACGCTCATTACGATGAAGAAATCATGACAAAACATGTACGATGAAGAAGTCATGAAAATTCATGAGGTGAGAAAAGAGGTGAGAAAAGAGGTGAGAAAAGAGGTGAGATCTCACCTCTTCACCTAAAATATATTTTTGGGTCATTTACGCTCATTACGATGAAGAAGTCTTGACAAAACATTTACGTTCATGTTTGACAAAACATTTACGCTCATTACGATGAAGAAATCATGAAAATTCATGAGGGTAGAAATGAGGTTAGATCTAACCATCTACCCTAAACATTATTTTTGGATCATTTACGCTCATTACGATGAAGAAATCATGACAAAACATGTACGATGAAGAAGTCATGAAAATTCATGAGGTGAGAAAAGAGGTGAGAAAAGAGGTGAGAAAAGAGGTGAGATCTCACCTCTTCACCTAAAATATATTTTTGGGTCATTTACGCTCATTACGATGAAGAAGTCTTGACAAAACATTTACGTTCATGTTTGACAAAACATTTACGCTCATTACGATGAAGAAATCATGACAAAACATATACGCTCATGTTTGACAAAGCATATACGATGAAGAAGTCATGACAAAACATTTACGAAGAAATCATGACAAAACATTTACGAAGAAGTTTTGACACGAAGTGAAGATTTGCACTTCGTCAAAAAAGTGAAGGTTCGACAAAACATTTACGTTCATGTTTGACAAAACATTTACGTTCATGTTTGACAAAACATGTACGATGAAGAAATCATGAAAATTCAATGAGGTGAGAAAAGAGGTGAGAAAAGAGGTGAGATCTAACATTCTAACATAAACATTATTTTTGGATCATTTACGCTCATTACGATGAAGAAGTCATGACAAAGCATATACGATGAAGTTTCGACAAAACATGTACGATGAAATCATGACAAATCATTTACACTCATTACGATGAAGTTTCGACAAAGCATATACAATGAAGAAATCATGAAAATTCATGAGGTGAGAAAAGAGGTGAGATCTCACCTCTTCACCTAAACATTATTTTTGGATCATTTACGCTCATTACGATGAAGAAATCATGACAAAGCATATACGTTCATGTTTGACAAAGCATATACGCTCATTACGATGAAGAAATCATGACAAAACATGTACGATGAAGAAGTCTTGACAAAACATATACGCTCATTACGATGAAGACATCATGACAAAGCATATACACTCATTACGATGAAGAAGTTTCGACAAATCATTTACGAAGAAGTTTCGACAAAACATTTACGCTCATTACGATGAAGAAATCATGACAAAACATGTACGAAGAGATTCCGTATGAAAATTCATGAGGGTAGAAATGAGGGTAGAAATGAGGTTAGATCTAACCATCTACCCTAAACATTATTTTTGGATCATTTACGCTCATGTTAGAAAACATGTTAGAAAAGGTGTTAGATCTAACATTCTAACATAAACATTATTTTTGGGTCATTTACGCTCATTACGATGAAGAAATCATGACAAAACATATACGCTCATGTTTGACAAAGAATATACGCTCATTACGATGAAGAAATCATGACAAAACATATACGATGAAGAAGTCTTGACAAAACATTTACGATGAAGAAATCATGACAAAGCATATACACTCATTACGATGAAGAAGTTTCGACAAATCATTTACGAAGAAGTTTCGACAAAACATGTACGATGAAGTTTCGACAAAACATGTACGATGAAGAAATCATGACAAAGCATATACGCTCATTACGATGAAGAAATCATGAAAATTCAATGAGGGTAGAAATGAGGGTAGAAATGAGGTTAGATCTAACCATCTACCCTAAACATTATTTTTGCTGAATTCAGCAACAAAATGAACGAAGTCAGGATGTATGCAAATACCTTTGAATTCATTCATAAATGCCTTAGTAAGCTCACAAAATGTTTGTTTTGAGGTTGAGCCACTTTTGGCTCGACCGTATTCTTTCAACCAAAACTCAAGAATTTTCCTGCGTGAATTTTGTATAAAAAGCAACCGTCGGAATTCAGACGGTTGTTATATTCTTCACAAAATGCCTTATAATACTCTTCGTTCTACAAAGCAAGCATATCATTGGTTTGAAAACCAACAGACAAAAGAACTTTTAGAAGAATTTCCTCATATGATTGCTTCCCTCGGAAAACCGAGAGAAGAGATTCCGTATGAAAATTCAAGAGGGTAGAAAAGAGGGTAGAAATGAGGTTAGATCTAACATTCTAACATAAACATTATTTTGGGTCATTTACGCTCATTATGATGAAGAAGTCATGACAAAACATTTACGTTCATGTTTGACAAAACATATACGATGAAGTCATGACAAAACATTTACGATTAAATCATGACAAATCATTTATGTTATACAGTAATGTTAGTCATGAATGTTTGTCCTACGTGTTGGCGTTAGTGTTGAAAAATAATGTTTGTCCTACATGAAGCCGTACAAGCGTTTGAATTTGTTTATGCATAAGATTACTCTCTTGTTTTCTGTATCTATCATACAAACATAAGCAGCACCTGTTTTTGTAAAGTTTATATGAAGTTTTCGATAGTTAAGACCTGTATAATAATAGAATGCGTCCTCATTCTCAACATAATAATAGAACTCAAACGAATGCTTACCATAATCTGTTATTTCAACAGCTTCGTCAGATATTTCATCAACGAACTCATAAACTATATCGCCATACTTGCTTTTATTTCTATTGTTTTCAGATCTAGAACACCAACGAAGGTTTGAGATTCTGTTGTCCGTTCTATCATGATTTATATGGTCTATTTCTTTCAAATTGTTTGGATTTTCAATCCACTGTTCTGCAATAATTCTATGCTTTAAATGTGTTTTGTTGTTTAAACTAAGCTCAATATAACCATAATTATTTAAGCATTCACTCATAATATGTTTGTCTTTCTTTCGACGAATAGTAAAAGGATATGTCGTACAAATCTCATAATCTTCATGATTTCTCAATGTTTCCCATTGAGTTTGTTCCCCACTAACGTTCTCATTGACGTCCTCAATATCTTCTTCCTCACTGAACTCGTCAATATTTTCACTAGCTCCTTCTGTAATGTTTTCATCGGCATTGTCATTGACTTCTTCTGTAATGTTAGATGTTGTTGTTTCGCTCATGTTCTTTCACTAATGTTAAAAAGTTATGTTGTACGAATTTTGAACAGAATTTAGAGCAGTTATGAAACAATGAAGTATTTTTACGCTATTGAAAGGAACTATGAGAGTGAAGTACATGACAGCAATGACAAAAGGAACTAATATCAAACCTAATGAAATCGCTCACGAGGACATAGAGCTTAACAAGTACTTTGTGGAGTATCTTATAAGTGAAGAGTATGTAAGACCTTACTTCATGTTTGACAGCATGAATGAGGATGTTATTTCATGGTTAAAGAATATAAGCAATGTTTTCGGTAAGTACGTCATAGATGACAAAGGTCTTGTTGTATTTTATGAGACAGCAATACGAACACAGGAACTAATGGATATTATGCACTCAACAGCAAAGAAAGGATTTAGTACTATTGGCATGAATGAACATTGCAGGAATGACATATACAACCTATGCTCACGAAAGCCTTACACAAAAGCAATACAAATGATAGAACATAAGTGTCTAAGGTCAGCAAATGAAATCATTACTGTCAGTGGTTATGAAAGAACTGTTAGCAAAGATGAGTGGAAACAGCTATTCATATTAAGGAAGGACGTTGCTGAACTAGTTAAACCTGTTGCACAAACATTGTTTCAGATAAGACCAGCAATGACTAAGAACCCTTTGACCTTAGTCAATGAGACCATAGAGGTTGAAGATAATGACATGAAAGAACTAGGAATGAATGAGAGAAGTTGTGAAGGATGTTTGAGTCAAAACACATGGTTCTTCAGAGCTGTTAAGAAACTTAGTAAAGAACGACAGAAATATTTTATAGAGAAGTATTGCAAAGGATGTGTAAATGAATTGCTTGAAATAGAACTTAGAGACACTTTCACACTAAAGGACTTGAGGAGAAATAAGTACATGAGTGAAGAAGGTATTGACATAGCTAGTGTTATAAATGACTTAAGAAGATGTGTTGTCGTTATTGACGGAGCACGTATGACATATCTAGTGAAAGATTATGATGGAATACGAGACACAACAACACTTGTGTCAGTAGATAGCAAGGAATTCAATAAGCTCATGAAGAGTGTTTATGTAGGACGTATTGAGGAGAAGGATGTGAACGCACTGATGATTTATGAAGCGGGTCAGAACAAGAACTATCTTATGAAGTCAGGCATGAGATTCTTTGACGAAAGAGATGACATTTACAGCTATTTCAGAGGATATGAGTATGAGGTACTGAATGAAGTAGATGAAAGCATTATTAAAGGATATTTGAAACATGTTCACGATGTCATATGTAATGAGGATGAAGAGCTTTATGAGTATGTTTTGAACTGGTTCGCCTACATCGTTCAAAATCCTTGTGGAAAGACTGGAACAGTACTTTTGTTAATAGGAAAGCAAGGAACTGGTAAGAATGTACTTAGTAATGTTCTATGCGAGCTCATTAGCAAGTACGCCAACAATAATATAACGGCAATAGAGAATGTGGTTGGTAGATTCAATGCTGCTATTGAGAACATGAAGCTCATCGTATGCAATGAACTAAGCTCATGCGATACGTCTAAGGTCATGAACCACGACGCACTAAAGTCAATAGTAACAGAGACTCAGTTGGACTTAAATCAGAAGTGTCAGCCAGTAAGAAAGATAGAGAATGTTTGTAATATCATCATGATATCTAACAACTTCAACTCAGTAAAGATTGACAAAGACGACAGAAGATTTGTTGTCATTGACGTAAGCAGCAGATACAAAGGAAATTACGAATATTTCTCAAATCTCATTGAAAGCTTTAATGAAGAGTTTTATTCAAACTTACTGACGTACTTCATGAAGAAAGATTTAAGTAAATTTGATGTAAGGAAGATACCATTCACCAGGGCTAAACAAGAACTCATCGAAATGAACAAAACACCTTACCAAATGTTTTACGAGGAGTTCTATGAAAAGTTTGTATCCGGATGGAATTGTACAGAGTGCTACAGAAGATATAAAGAATTTGCGAAGGAGAATGAATTCTTTGCATGTAGTTCAAATGTATTTGGTGGCAAGATGAGAGAATTTGTGAAGAGAAGTAGAAAGCGAGACGGTTCTGCAAGAAGTTATATTTACGAAGCAAGTATGATATTAGAAGGTCGTGGAAAGAAAGAACAGTGAATTATGAGGAAGTGCTTGAAAAATTCATGGAGTACATGGGAAGCAATATAACATACAACAAAGACATATACAGTGAGTTTAAGTACTATTGTGAACAGCATGAGATTGAAGTAATGAGTAAAGGAGACTTTGAAACGCTTATGAAAGACAGTAAGGAGGTCATACATGAGAACAGTGTTGAAATAGTTCATGAGAACAGTGAGGAGGTCGTTCATGAATGCAGTGATGAAATAGTTCACGATGTCGTTCGTGAAGAAGCCATTGCAACAAAGAATGTTATAAAGGATTTCATAGAACTTACAAGGAGGAGTTTAAAGAAGGCTATGAATGAAAAGATGTGAAGAAGATTTCTTGGCGTATTTGAAGAAAAAGAGACTAAAGCCAATGCTCAAAATAAGTTTCAATCGATGTTTGAAAAGAACGTTTGAGCTATGGTGGTGTAAGAAGCACATATTACTTTGTTAAGAAGTGAGGACATTTATTTTTGTCGTTAGTGTTGGAGTTTGTGTTTGTTGTTAGCGTTTGTCATTTGTGCTGAAGTTAGTACTTGATGTTAGTGTTGGAGTTTGTGTTTGTTTTAGTGTTTGTCATTTGTGCTGAAGTTAGTACTTGATGTTAGTGTTGGAGTTTGTGTTGTTTGTTGTGACGAGAAAAAATTAATTATAAATCATGAACTTTGCCATGGTCTCTGTCCCTAGTAGTTTTCATTAAGTTCTGGAAATAATGAAAGTCATAAACTTTGCCATGGTCTCTGTCCCTAGTAGTTTTCATTATCTCACAGAGTTAATGAAAGTCATACTTTCTATCAGATGAAGCATGCAGATGAACATAATGAAAGTTAGTGAGTTTGCCACGAGTTATGAATAAAATATTGGCATATTAGATAAGATAACTGATGAAACAGATGAAGATAAATTAAATCTTGGACTTTGCCACACTCTGTCCCTAGTTCCTCAAAATCCTTGACAACGTTGCTTAGAAATTTTGGTTCAAAACCTCATCTGATTTTAATCTGTTATGCTACCTGTTAAGTTTCGCGAGATTATAAATGTCATGGAGTTATATAAAAAGGAGGGACAGCTAGGGACACTGGAAGTACTTGTAAGGCTATCTGTTAAGATTGCATGAAATACTAAAAAGTCATGAAATCCATTATCGCTGTGCTAGCTTCACCTTAGAGTAAAATGACAAATAAAGTCACTGAAGCAATGAAACAAAAGTTTTTGGTAGAATACATTAAATCAGGAACTATTCCAGAAGGTTTTTACATTCATACTATGAAGGATGGTAGAGTTCAGTTTAGAAAGATAAAGCAACCATTAGATAAAGAAGGAATTTTGAGAAAGATTAAACTTCATGAGGACAACATTGCTGAACTTAGGAAGAAGTTAGAAGAGTTGGAGAAAGGAAGAGAGTTATAAAGCAATGAATTCAACAGGGTGAAAAAACAGGTGAAAAAAGAGGTGAGATCTCACCTCTTCACCTAAATTTATTTTTGTGCTATGTTTTCATACGTGTGGGAGTGGTGATATCATTAATTTTTAAGTTTATTTTTTTATTTTATTTTTTATTTTATTTGGATGTAAATGACGAAAACTATTGAGATAACAAACTACAACAGTCATGAGTTCAAGAATTTGTTCTTCGTTCCTCGTGAAAATACATTCTATCAGATACGAGGGAGAAAGGGTAAAGTTAGTTTGAGCGTTTATGACAACAAACATAATGGGAGATATATAAAAGCAATAGATACAAACGGTAAGCGTGTTTCATTAGCTTTGTCAAAACTTACTAACATTTATTTTGACAGTGACTTTGACTCTGACGATTGGAGTGACAGCAGCGATACTGAAGAATATGAACTATTGTGTGAAGCACAGCAATGGGAAGCGCTGCAATACTTTTGTAAGTGAGAACATTAATGGGAACGTTAGTGAGAACGTTTATTTTTCATTAGTGAAGTCGTTTGTGAAGTCATTAGTGAAGTCATTTATGTGTCAGATGGTTTTGTAAATATTTAAGGTTAAGTTGGTGTTATGGTTGTGTTGTAAAATATACGTTACCGGTTTCGTAAAGTGTCAAACCGTTAACTTGGGTAAGGTGGAACGCAGTGCCGCCGTACACAAGATAGGGATACTAACTATTGTACCTATGGTAAGGAAACTTTTTGATTCAAAGCAGAACAAGAACAAATTACAAAGCTCACTACAGAGTGGACATGGAGACTAGGTCCTACAGAGAGATATGTTTAGTTACTAATATATATATGTTATGACCCCATACCAAGTTGGCTCAATTCCCATCAGAAGGCTACCAGTATACAAAATTATAAGATGAGAGAAGTATTAATTTGAACCAATTTATAAAATATCTTGCTTTGGGAAATTGGCTTACTCTCAAATTTTGTAAAAAAATTATCTAACAGTAGAACATTGGGATTTAGAACTTTAGTTATTCACAATTGGGAAAGATGCCAAAAAGTCAGAAAAATTAAAATCTGACAGCGAATTGGTCCGAAATTTTGATGATATTCCTTCATAAGCTTGGCATTAAATTACTATTGTAAGGCATTCTCTGCTTGAGTTGTCACAGTATATGATTGATGCATGATTATTATCTTTGTATTTGGGGGATACCGAGGTGAGGTGAAATCGCTCTCCCGACACTTCGTAATTGAGCAATTATCTTCTTTCAGAGTAAACATCTTTTTAGTCAAACATCATTTTGATATTGCAGGGTTTTCAGTATGTGGACTCCTTCGCTTCGCTCGGAGTCCACATACTGAAAACCCTGCGTTTTAAAGTCAAAAAACTAATTTTCGAATTAAATTGTTAAGATTGCAACACACAATTTTTGATCAGGGAAATATTGTACCTGAATACATTTTAAAAGGTTGTCTATTCATTTCCACCAAAGAGATGCATCTTCCATCCAAATAAAACTCAATATTGATCGATATATCTGAAAAATACGAAATGTCGGGTGTTGAATTTCACCTCACATTGTTTCGCTTCTTGTATTTTGAATATACACGAATTAATAAAACATTCTTTGCCGTCTCCCCACTTAATGTCAAAAGTTAGTTTTTTGATTTTAAAAAGCCGGGTTTTCATCTTGTGGAATCATGCACTTCGCTTGGATTCCACAAGATGAAAAGCCTGCAATATAATTATGATACTTTTATGGATCCTAATCTCATTCCAGGTCCTAAAGATATTACTGATGACATTGGCTTATTTCGCCTAGTTATTAAGGAAGAATTAAGTGGTCAATACCCTTACCACAAAAAGACAACTCATGATCCTTCTGTTCTTAAGTATGAATGTCCAATTTTTGGTTGCAAAGCATGTGTTAAATATCAAGTTCTTGATACAGATGTTCACTTCATTCTCCTCATATGTACACATCATCAATTCTACATGAATATCTCCGAAGATACTTTTCCCATGGCCGCTCTCAGTACGAAGGATTACTCCATGCATTCCACGAACTTGGGATTCCTTATTTAGAAGGAAATCTTCCTTTAATGTACTCCAGAGATATGAAATCATTGAAAATGCTTGCATACAGAAACAATTGCATCAAAAACTTAAGAGTATGCCTAGACTCCTTTGCTTCCCTTGATACAATCATTCTCACTTATCAAAATAACTCTAATGATTTAATAGAATTCATTCATGAGGAAGATTTTCTTTTCTTTATTTACGCTCCTTTCGAAGCTAAAGGTTTTCTTTATGTCTATGGACCCTTTCACGCAGATTCAACCCACTCCCTTATTGAATAGAAGCTTCCTCTGTATGCAATGACAAAGAAAACATTCCATCAATGCATTTTCCCATTCTTTTACTTTATCGTCTCGTAAACGAAAAAGGGATTTGACGCAGTCAAATCCCCGCTCACAAAAAGTGGATTTTACATGTCAAATTTTATATGCATGTAATGTCCACTTTTATGAGTTTTAAGAAGGAATTGGAAGCCATGAGTTACTGACATTGCATCAGTATCTCATAGCCTCCAATTCCTTCAAAAATTGGGAGAAACTTTGTGTTGTAAACGAAAACGATAAAACGGTTTGACAGAAAAGTGACACTTTACATGGCAAAAAATAGAGCCTTACTTTTGAGATACTTGAGATTGAAACTGAATCTTATGAGGCGGTGATCTTGAATCACTACCTCATAAGGTTCAGTTTCATATAAAATTTGTTGCAATTTGTTATTCTTTTGCAATTATTTCTTATAAGATTTTACATCTTTTAGCGGGGAATGTTTGTTATCATGTATATATTATAAATATCTACACGATAACGAACATTCCTCGCTAAATTGCTGAGAAACTTTGAGGAAATGTCGAACAATTTCCTCAAAGTTTCTCAGATTTATATAGATCACTAGAGTCCCCTAGGCACTGATTCTGGTTCAGTACCTAGGAGGCTCTAGTTCTCTAACGAACTGATAAAATGTTTTTAAATTTTTGGATATTGCTACCTGTGAAGCACTGACTTCAAGTCAGTACCTCACAGGTAGCAATTACATTGAAATATGGGAGAAACTTTGTCCGAATAGTTTAACATTCGGACAAAGTTTCTCCCATTTGTAGTGGAGATGGAAGGCTTTGAGGTATATTATATTAATGTATACCCCAAAGCCTTCCATCTCCACTTGAAAGTTCCAAAACTTTGGGTTAATAGTTTGCAATTAACCCAAAGTTTTGGAACTTTCTAGAAGGAATTGCAGGGTAAGAGGTACATATTCATACTATGTACCTCTTACCCTCCAATTCCTTCCTTAACATAAACAAATTTGGAGTTAATTGTTTGCAATTAACTCCGGGTTTGTTGACCTCCAAATGAAAATGAAAGGGTAAGAGGTATATAGTGACCCTATATGCCTCTTACCCTTTCATTCTCATTAATTATGGGAGAAACTTTGGCCGAATGTTAAATTATTCGACCAAAGTTTCTCCCATTTTTTGAAGGGATTGGAGGCTATGAGATACTGATGCAATGTCAGTACCTCATGGCCTCCAATTCCATCCTGAAACTGATCAAAGTGGACCTTACATGCATTTGAAATTTGCCATGTAAAGTCCACTTTTTGAGAGAGAGGATTTGACTGCGTCAAATCCTCTTTTTCGTTTACGAGATTCCACAGATTGCGCCCTCAACCTTATGAATGCCATTCAACAAGGCGTACCAAATGTGAAGTAAGATTGGTGCGCTTTACATGTTTTGCGCGCAATCATCATAAAAAAATTCAAGGAAATTTAGAAATTTCATGAATTTTACTTACTAATGGATTTTTTGGTCCTCAGAACAAACGATTCAAAAGAATCCGAAGTGGCATATGACAATATTTTGTCATTACTCGAAGATGAACAAAAAGCATTCAAATACTTTTCTAAGACATGGTGCCCCATATCTTGAATATTGGGAAGCAAGCTATCGCGGCGAAGATGCCTCCACAAACAATTTGGCTGAAAGTCACTTTAGATAACTCAAGCACACTTATTTTCTTGGCAAAAAAATTCATGCGCATTGATGACTTTGTTCTCATTTTGCTCACAAAGATCATCCCAACATATTTAATTCGAATTAAAGTTGCCAATAACAAAGAGAAGATAGCACTCAAAGTCCTCGATCAAGCCAAACATGATGCCTTGTATCAACAACAATATGCAAAAGACAAATGTTCCCAACTTTTGCATGAGTAGGGGTAATTTTAGCTAAAAGTGATACGCCTGTAAAAAGTGACACACCCGTGAAGGGTGTGATTACCGATCGGTAATTTCGACAGTTTAGAATTTAAAATTTTTTATGGAACTGTTGCGAGTTTCATAAAGAATTTAAGGAATATAAGCAAAGATTTGAATCAAAATCTTAGACCTAAGCCGCTCGATTCGCTCGCGGCTTCCGCGAATTACAGATCAGCAAAGATTTGAATCAAAATCTTCGAACTAAGCCGATCGCTTCGCTCGCGGCTTTCTTTATTATTTTAAATTTGCATATTTCCATCAAAAGTTCATAAGGTAAAAAATTTCGTTTATATTATTGCAAAATAAAATCTTCATTATCAAAATAATATTAAATGATAATATAATATAATTTATAAACAACTATTATTTAATAAAGTTTAATTGCCAAGGTTCATCTAATTTTTTGATTTTTAATGTTTTATGAATTTTATTTATCATGTATATATCTAATGAAGATTATATATGTAGAAGATAAGTACCTTAATATGTACGTAAATTTTAATGAAATTTATACAACATTATAAAAATTTATGAATAAAAACTTGATATAAAATAACATTTTTATTTTAAAAAAAAAAAAAAAAAAAAAAAAAGGTAGTGGGGCCTCCAGGCACTTCGTGCCCTCTAGCCCTGAAGATGTTTAGTATAATGAAGTTTTTTTTTTCTTGGGATGGCCTTCCAGGCACTTCGTGCCCTCTAGCCCATAAAAAGTTTAGTATATATTTGTCCGGACAAGTAAGGGTCTATCGTCGCTACAGGAAAAGTTACAGGCGTTCCAAGGAAGTATACTTTGAGAAGCCTTTTCTCCATTTTAAAACAAGATAGGACGGTTATTTTACAAAACTAACAACACGTTGACCGAGTAGTTTTTTGTGCTGAACAAAAGTGTCATATAAACATCTGTCAAAAACCGTTTTTTACTTCACTTAAAATGCCACGTAAGCTACGTAAGAATATACGTAAGAGGAAGGGAGCATTGAAACATCCCATAGTAAAACTGACACCACAACAACAGTTGCAACAACAAATGATGAATGACCCCACTATGTTGCAACAAATGTCAAGCAACCCTATGCTTTTAAACCGAGTTATTGGTGCACAGAGTGGAGGTTTAAGAGCGGCACTTTTAGCGAAAATGGCAGGCTATGGTGGAGCTGCAGACGGAACAGCTTATAACCCTCAAAGTCAAATGAATTTGAGTTCACTCAAAAATCAAATAACAGATGTCAAAAAGTCAAACATAGACATACAGAAACAAATAAGTGAAAACGAAAAGAAACTAGAATATGACAGACACACAAAGAAACTCAATGAGTTAAACGTAGAGAAAAAGAAGAAAGAAGAACAACTGAAAGAACTAAGTACAGAGGAATATGCGAAAAAAGTGTCAGAAAAAGCAGCAGAAGTAGCAAAAATGGAACAAGATGTTATAAATTTGAAAAACCATACTACTCAATATAAAGTACTGAAAGATGAAGAAATAAAACAAAAAGCCCTGAAGACATATATGGATAGCGATGAGTATAAAAAAGAAGTTGAAGCAAATGTAAAGGCAGAAAAACTTTTACAGTTGCAAAACCAAACCGTACAGTATGAAAACTTAGCACAAGAAAGTAAAAATAACGACGCAGCCATGCAAAAGGCAATGAAAAGCGCAGAATATATAAAAGCTAATAATGACTGGTTAGATGCCCAAGCCAACGCCAAAGCAGCCCAACTTATAGGGTCAATAAGGACAAAAATACAAGCGGATGAAGACAGTTCAAATGAAGCTTTAATGAATGCTGACTTTAAGAACGCCTTCGAAGCTCTTCATAGTAAGGTGAAACTAGTGAACGACTTCTCATCTGGAAAGAAACTGAAGTCTGAAGGTTTCGACAACGAGTTAAGAGAAGTAGCACAAAATATGACGAAAATAACAGATGCAGCAACGAGACAGGCAGTTCAAAGTGCCTATGACGCCGTTAGAGCAACTGTTGTGGAAAGTCAAGAAAAAGAGTTACAACAGACCAAAACAGACCTAGTAAATGCTTTCTTAAGAACGAAAAGTCAGGTAGGACATTATGCTGCAGATGGAACATATGTGCCAGCTGGTGGAACTTATATACCAGCTGGTGGAACTTATATACTAGCTAGTGGAACTTATATACCACCAAACCCTCCAAGAGAAGCACCTGCACCAGGACTACCTAAAACATTTACATCGTCACATGGACACAGACACAGGCATGCACCAAAACCAACAGTTCAAAATCCAGCACAGCAACCAACAGTTCAAAATCCAGCACCACAACCAACAGTTCAAAACACTGCACAGCAACCAACAGTTCAAAACCCTGCACAGCAACAACCACAAACAGAGCAAGGACATAAAAGAAGTAGAACAAGGAAACCAAGAATTCTTAAAAATGCTTAAGGAAAATTATGGTTACCCAGATACTCTTGACTTTAGTGACAGATATAAAGAAGCTATTAGAAAGTTCAAGGAAGGAAATACTGACCCGAACCTATTTAGCTTTATGGTTCAGCACCAAATGGGATATAATTTCAAACCTGGAAAATACAAGCTCGCTAAGGGATATGATTTAATAGCATATCATCCAAATGACATGACTGAATTTACTCCGAGATATTTGGTGTCAGAGCTAAATGATAATTCAACTCTCTTCATGAAACGCGTAAAAAATAGAGACGGAACGAAAGAAGAAAGGTTTATGAGTCCGGATGACTTAGATAGGGAACTTTTTAAAAACGGTCTCGGAATATATGAAATGCCAGCAGATGAGGTACAAGAAACTCCACAGGAAGAAGTTCAGATACAACCAGACATGGAAGAAATAGTTCAGCAACAACAGCTAGAAGAGCCTGAAGGAAACGAACAAGTCCCTCCTTTGGAAACTAACTTCACAGAACTAGATGAAGATTTGGAACAGCCGAAAAATCTTGACCCTCAACAAGAGTATGCGGAGAATATGGAATCTTTCCAAGAGTCTAAGAAAAATTCAGCTGACATAGTAGAAGAATATCGAAAAATGTTCGCCGACATACAAAAGACTCCAACATCAGATGAAAATATCCAGCATAGAATGGAAGTACTGAAAGATAATGTACACAAATACAACAATCCTTTTTACTTACGAGCATATAACGTTCAATCTTTGGATGAACTCGGTGAAAATAAAAGGTTAAATTTCAACAAAACATATAGAAATGAAACATTGTTTAAAGTTCATTCAGAACCTAGCCAATATGGAAACAAACCTACTTTTGTTTCTGCAGACGATGGAACTACAATGAGATGGGGTCATAAAGCTAATCCGGATAGGTGGTTCATAAACTTACAACCACAATTCCAAGAAGTTGTAGACGCAATGGAAGTGAATGGTGAACCAGATGTAGCTGGTATTTTCAGCGCGGCTTTAATGCCATTGAAAGATATGAAAGATGCAGATATTTTGGACCAGTATGAAATGAACATGGCTGATGGAAATATAACACCTGACGTTCTAGAACATTTATCTCAAAGAACTACACAGAACCATAGAGATGGTATATTTGGTGAAGAGTTTAGAAAGAAAGTTAGGGAGAGAGAAGGAAGAGAACCTATTGTACATGACCTTGCAAACGAAAGTTTAAAATGTCATAAAAACTTACTTTGCAGACAATGAACCGAGAAGGGATGAATATTTAAGAAAACTCAAATGGACAGTACCAAATGAAATGTTAGTATTGAAAAACATGTTCCTTGACAAAATAAAACCAACTACAGAAATAAATGACGCAAGACTGAAACATTGGGTAAAAGCTTTCCCATTCACAAAAGATATTATTGGTAACATGGAAAGAAAACCAGAATGGCTACAAAAACATATATTTGGAAACGAGCTTATTCCATATGGACAAGCTCTGTTTGAAGAGCTTGAACCGGAAACTCAGGAAAGAGTCATGCAAACAATACGCGAAGACTCAAATACAAACTATGACAAAATCTTTCTAGGATATAGGTTACCTGAGTTGGGCGACCAGAGCCCAAAGGCAAAAAGGACATGGGAAATTTACAACATACTAGGTGAACATGAGGCAAAGATGCAACAACTTGAAGCAGAGGGCAAGTTACCAAAAGCGACACCAAAGAAGAAGAGTAGAACAAAGTGAAGCTTGGTCCGAGTGGGTTCTATTATGATATATAAATCCAACTATTCTATATTTTTACCCATATGAAATGTACGCCGCTCAGAATATAACGCCAACAGTTTTGGATGCCATGAACGGAAATGTTTCCGAATGGTATAACGAATGCGACAATGCCATTAGAAGGTCAGAAATAGTTCCTGGAACTTACGAATATACAACTGCTGTTTCTTATGGAAACGTAGGTGAGTTTGGAGAAGGTTCTTCAACAACAGTAGATATTGCTTGCGACAGGTTTCATATTATTTCTATTGACAACTCATTCTTATACGTGGAACAAGACATTGAAATAAAACCTTCTGCCAAGTTGTCTGACAAGAAAGGTTGCAATGGAATTTTCTATGTCGGATACCAATATGCTCCAGAAGTTTTCATGGGATATAAGATATATTCTAACTCTGACTTAGTTCAAACAGTAACATGGGCAAACTATGAATGGTTCGCTTTGAGAAACTCAGTACAACCACAAGCTAGAGAACAAACAGACCAGTATGCAAATATTGAGAAAATAAGAAGACTTGACCCTAACGTTCCAGGAGTTTATGTTAACCTTTCTGGTTCAGATGGAACTGCTGCCACTAAAGTAAAACTGAAACTTAGAGTTCCTTTGTCATCTTTCCTCATCTTCAGGTTTTTAAGATACTTGCCAAACTGGGCAGGAAAAATTTCTATCGAACTTACTCCAAGCAAAAATAACTTAGTCATTGCACCAACACAAGACCTATTCACTATTACAGACGTAAAGGGAACAAATCAAACGTCATTCGCCGAATTTTGCAAAGACAAAGTTGACTTAGACTTTGGTTTCTCAAACTTCAACAATGAAGTAAACTATTATTTCAATGCTGCTGGAACTGCTTGGGACCCAGTTAAGTTCACATGCGAAAAATTTGAATGCAAGAGAATAGAAAGCAGACTTGCAGTCTATATGTTGGACCCAGATATTTCAAATGCTTTAGCTGCCAAATATATTGCAGTTCCACTTATGTTCCCTATACACCAAATATCTGTCAAAGACTTTGCAGGTGAAGTTGGAAACCAAAGTGCTGACCCAGGTGCAAGAACAGATATTGCTTTAACAACTGCAATGAAACATGCAGATACTATGTTTGTACTGTTCAGACGAACTATAAATGACTATTCTTGTTTCTACAACCCCGGTATTAAATATCATATAAACATAGATGGCAAATATTATCCAAGAGAAGAATATTCTACAGTTGAGGATATGAGGTCATACAACTTGACATTAGATGCTATGAACTTTAACAACAACTTCACAACAACCATTAACCCTGAAATGCAAAGTTCTATTATGCCATATGTGAAAGTATGGACTCATACAGGAGGTCAAAAAACTCAATATACAAATGGAGACCGTTCAAACTTTTGGCTTGGCATTCCATTTGCTGACTCAGAAGACTTTATGGGTGGTATTTCAACTGTTGGTACTGTACAAATACAATATACTGGTGACAGAGACGGTCCAGATGAACTGAGAGCAAAGAAGTTTACAAAACCAATAGCACTTTTCACGGAAGATGCTCTTTTGAAGATTCGTTCGATGAAACCTGCTGGGGCTCCTCAGATTGGCATAACGACAGCTTCCATCGAGCAGATTTTGGCAGCAGGTCAGTAAGTTGTTCTTGAACTGACTTCTCTCCGTCAAATATTGACAGTACGCCAGTTTTGACATAATATTGTAAGATAAACTTACCTTTAGAAATATCTGTAAGTTTTGTTGTTATATTTTTGTCAACGTCAAGAACTTTCACCATCTCGGTTATACCAACTTTCTTTGCTTTATGGAAATATTTTGGTTCAGCAAATATTGCTATTCTATAACATTTTCCATTGTTTGTGTAAAGAACTATTCTGTCAATGTATTTGTATTGTTTGTGAGTATAAACTTTGTTCTGCTTCAATTCAATAAGATATCCGAATACGTCCATCTTTTTATTCTAAGTAAAATGTCATTTCCGAAAAATAGAAGCGTAAGTGTTTCAAAAGGTTTAATGGCGGTGGCAGATGTGAAGTTAAATTCACCAACTCAAACAAACAGTCAAAGTGTTGTTGTCAATGTCAAAGACAGAGATGTTGAAGTGGGGAAACCATACGAAGACGAAGATGGTATAACAATTGTTCCTGTAAAAGAACCAACATACCCTGAAGTTAGCAGAGACTTAAGTTCTGTTGCAGATATTCGAAACGACTACCAACAACTGAAAGACAAACTTCAAACTCAGGAGAAGATTTGTCAAGCTTTAAGTATAATGTTAAACTTGGTCGAACACAACCCTGTAAAAGTGAACTCATATGTCATTGCACCTCATGAAGTCTTGAAAGAACTATTGAAACTTTTGACAGAGGCAGACGATATAAACATCAAAGAAATAGAACCCGACATTAGTTGCTGTGGTGTTTCATATAATGTCATTGACAAGATATACGTTATGAAAGGAGGTGAAACGTTGAACTTAAAGTATAGTTTCCCAGACGTCATAAAAATATTTGACGACCACAACATTTCATTAAAATTTATTTGCTAAGTAAAAATGTCAAAACTTCTTGAAAGATGTTTGAAGAAAAATAATATAGACTTTATTTCATGTAAAGGACTTTACACACTTTTGAACGATATGAAAGACCCTGTTTTGTTTGTTCGTGTAGACAAAGGAAAGTTCTATGTCT